TTTTTCTTTGAAGTTGTTTCCCTTCTCCCCCAAGAAGCTTCTTCACCTCTGACTGGATGGTGAGGAATGGAAGGATTTATACTCTTTTGCAGACAGCTGGTCATTTGCATCCTTCTGAAGAGTCGTTGAGGACACTTGGAGGCTTATCTGTGTCCTCAGGGTCTCCTGAGTGGTGCAAATGGGTGTGGGGCCTTCTTGGAAGTGCTGAAAGGAACTGCTTCATAAGGAACTTCTTGGAACTGCTTCCTTTCAGCAGCTCCAAGGTGGCTCCACACCCATTTGCACCACTCAGGTGACTCTGAGGACACACATATACCTCCAAGTGGTCTCAACGACTCTCTAAAACAGCGGTTCTCAACCTATGGGTCGCGACCCCATTTGGGGTCGATCGCCCATTTTTCGGGGGTCGCCAAAGGCGGCGATCCGCCATTTTTCGCGGTGCTGTGGGGGGCCCGTCGCGCATGTGCGTCGCGCATGGGGGCGCTGCCGCGCATGCGTGCCGTGCGTGGGGGCCCCGCCCCCATGCGCGCGGCCCGGCGCATGCGCAGAACGTTTGTGTGACGGGGGTCGCCGTCACACAAACGTTGAGAAGCACTGCTCTAAAAGGAGGCAAATGACCGGCTGTCTGCAAGGAGTATAAATCCTTCCCTTCCCCACCATCCAGTCAGAACTGAAGAAGCTTTTTGGAGGAGAAGCGAAACGTCTTCAAGGAAAAACAAGAAAGTTCATTCTTTCTCTCTCTCTCTTTCTTCCTCCCTTTCTTTCTTCCTCCCTCCCTCACTTCTTTCTTTCTTTCCTTCCTTCCTCCCTCCCTTCCCTCCCTCCTTCCCCCTTCCTCCTTTCTTTCCTTCCCTCCCCTTCTTTCCTCCCTTCCCTCCCTCCTTCCTCCCTTCTTTCCTTCCCTCTCTTTCTTTCTTCCCTTCCTTCCTTCCTTCCCTCTTTTCCTTCCTTTCTTCCTCCCTTCCCTCCCTCCTTCTTTTCTTCCTCCTTTCCCTCCCTCCTTCCCCCCTCCCTTTCCTTCTTCCCTTCCTTCCTTTCTTCCTTCCTTCCCCTCTTTCTTTCCTTCCTTCCCTTCCCTCCCTCCTCCCTTCCCTGCCTCCTTCCTTCCTCCCTTTCTTTCTTCCTTCTTCCCTTCCCTCCCTCCTTCTTTTCTTCCTCCTTTCCCTCCCTCCTTCCCTCCCTCCCTCCTTCCCCCCTCCCTTTCCTTCTTCCTTCCTTCCTTTCTTCCTTCCTTCCTCCCTTCCCTTCCCTCCCTCCCTCCTCCCTCCTTCTTTCCTTCCTCCCTTCCCTGCCTTCCTTCCTCCCTCCTTTCTTTCTTCCTTCCTCCCTTCCCTCCCTCCTTCCTTCCCCCCTCCCTCCCTTTCCTTCTTGCCTAGCACTGAATAGTAACCAAGCGATGCATTTCTCACCCCCCCCCCCTTGAGAGGTTGTGAGATGTATTTTTAGTTTCCATGGGGAGCGTGGCCCAGGCAGGCTTCTCTCAACACAATCACAACAGAGGGAACACACTCGGCCTGTGGGAAAGGACGACGTAATTCTCACCAGGGTTAGGTTGAAGGTATTCCGTCGTTCGGGCCAAGATTTCCGTAACAGCCTTGCTGGTGAGGTCCACTTTCTGTTACAAATAAAAGTCAGGAGTTGACAAAACCACAAAAATGTGGGAAAAAGGGGGGTTCGTTATCGCTTCGTGTTTGGAGGCACAGATGGTCCCTGACTTACAACAGTTCATTTAGTGACCGTTCTAAGTTTCAACCGCACTGGAAAAACGGACTTATGACCGATTTTCACACTTACGGCCGTCACAGCGCCCCCAAGGTCACGTGATTGAAATTCAGACGCTTAGCGACCGACTCGTATTTATGACGGTCGCTGTGTCCCCGCGGGTCACGTGATCCCCTTCTGCGACCTTCCGACAAGCAAAGTCAACGGGGCAGCCAGATTCCCTTAACGACCGTATTACTCACTTAACGACTGCACTGATTCGCTTCACAATTGTGTTACTGACTTAACAATTTTAGTGATCCACTTCACAATTGTGTTACTAAATTAACAACTGCGGTGATTCACTTAAGAAGAGACACACATTTGTCTGAAATGGTATAGGGTTTCCCGCCTGAGCAGGGGGTTGGACTAGACTAGATGACCTCCAAGGTACCTTCCAACTTTATCATCATCATCATCATCATTTAAGAATTGTATTACTAAATTAACAACTGCGGTGATTCACTTAACAACTGTGTTATTAACAACTTTAGTATCCACTTAACAATTATGTTACTACCAACTGCAGTGATTCGCTTAACAATTGTGTTACTAACTTAACAACTTTAGTGATCCATTTCACAATTGTTACCAACAATTGCAGTGATTCACTTAACAATTATGTTACTAACTTAACAACTTTAGCGATCCACAATTGTGTTACTAGATTAATAACTGTGGTGATTCATGTAACAACTGGGTTACTAACAACTTTAGTGATCCACTTAACAATTGTGTTACTAACAATTGCGGTGATTCCCTTAACAATTGTGTTACTAATTTACCAACTTTAGTGATCCACTTAACAATTATGTTACTACCAGCTGCAGTGATCTGCTCATCAACTGCAGCAAGAAAGGTCATAAAATGGGTCATAAAACTCACTTAACAAATGTTTCGCTTAGCGACAGAAAATTTGGGCTCCACCGTGGTCGTAAGCTGAGACTACCTGTACATAATAGGTTTCTTTCTATATGTTTCTGGTTTAGATTAGTGATTTTCAAGAATTTTGCACATGTTCCTAGGGGGGGACCCTGTTCTGGAGTTGGCAAATGCATTTAAAAAAAAAAAAGACAAACTAAATTCAGTGAAGGGGTTTGGCAAACTCCTTAAGATAAAATAATTTTGAGGAATATGTCGTGTCTTTGAAGAGACCGGCAAGAAAATGCATTTTTTTAAAAAAGGACTTTTAAGATATGCAGTACGGGGGCCACAGTTGCATACATTATTTCAGTATTATTTGATGGACTGGTTTTGTCAGGGAACAGATGGATTCGTTTTCCCTGCTTGATCGGCAGATTAAATTGGGAACGTTTGATACACAAATAAGGGACTTATTTATGTAATGTAAACTTATGTCAAATAAACATAAATTTCTGCCTAGTCAACCTCTGCAGTTTTGTCGGCATGCAAAGGTAGTCTTGGCCCGGTGTTTCGACTTTGCAATTCAGACCAGAGGAAGTCCTGACCATACATGAGCCTGGCGATTATGGTCATAAAGCGGGTCACCATGGGACCGTAAGCCAAGGACAGGACATTATTGCCCTGCTTGTTCCTTGTGGTCTCCTTTTTAAGCTTTAACCATGTTTCACCGTGATAAATAAAATTGATCCAATGATGGAATGGTTAACTACAGACATTGTGGCTTCTCCAGTTTTGGAAATTTTTTAGGACAGGAGGTCTTCAGAAGGTTTAAATGAGTTTCCTGGCACATTTCGAAGGCTCAGCATGCCTGGCTGAGGAATTCTGGGAGTTGAAGTCCACAAGTCATAAAAGGGCCAGGTTTGAAGATCCCTGCTTTAGGATGTGGATCCTTATAGGAATTTTTTTAAAAAAAACTGTTATGGATTGTTCGTTTTTTTACATACGTCCATGTTTTTTGCTTTATCATTATTGCTTCTGGCTTTTAAAGGTGTAAGCTGTTCAGATTCGCCTGGAATTGTGCAGCCTCTAAATTGCAAACTTAAAATAAAATTTGATTTTTTTAAAAAATAATAATAATAATTTCAACTCCTATATTTCATGGCTCTGCTAGATTTTGGGGAACAGCCAAGGTCAGCTGAATGCTGTTATGAAGAATTGGAAATAGGTGCTAGAGCAGAGGTTTTCAAACTTGGCCCCTTCATGACTCGTGGACTTCAAATCCCAGAATTCCTCAGCCAGCATGGGGAAACTATGGCCCCTTTATGACTTGTGGACTTCAACTCCCAGAATTCCTCAGCCAGCATGGGGGAACTATGGCCCCTTTTATGACTTGTGGACTTCAATTCCCAGAATTCCTCAGCCAGCATGGGGAAACTATGGCCCCTTCATGACTTGTGGACTTCAACTCCCAGAATTGCTCAGCCAGCATGGGGGGACTATGGCCCCTTCATGACTTGTGGACTTCAACTCCCAGAATTCCTCAGCCAGCATGGGGGAACTATGGCCCCTTTTATGACTTGTGGACTTCAATTCCCAGAATTCCTCAGCCAGCATGGGGAAACTATGGCCCCTTCATGACTTGTGGACTTCAACTCCCAGAATTGCTCAGCCAGCATGGGGGGACTATGGCCCCTTCATGACTTGCGGACTTCAACTCCCAGAATTCCTCAGCCAGCATGGGGGAACTATGGCCCCTTCATGACTTGTGGACTTTAAATCCCAGGATTCCTAAGCCAGCATGGAGGAACTATGGCCCCTTCATGACTTGCGGACTTCAACTCCCAGAATTCCTCAGCCAGCATGCCTGGCTGAGGAATGCTGGGAGTTGAAGTCCACAAGTCATAAAAAGGCCGAGTCTGAAGACCCCTGTGCTAGAGAAAAGCAAAGATGTTGAAGACCATGAGTCTCCAAACTTGGCAACTTTAGGACTTGTGGACTTCAACTCCCAGAATTCCCAGGTTTTGGGGAAAAGTCAAAGTCAGCTAAATGTTATGAGGAACTGGAAATAGGTGCTAGAGAATACCAAAGATATTAGATATCTATTAGATATTAGATATTAGTCTCCAAACTTGCCAACTTTAGGACTTGTGGACTTCAATTCCCAGAATCTCCCAGGAAGCCATGGGAATTCTGGGAGTTGAAGTCCACAAGTCTTAAAGTTGCCATCTTTGGAGACCCCTGAGGTAGACATTGTCCATATCACACAAAACCACTTTTTCATGCATTCTTTTGTTATCCTTACCCACCTTCTCCATTTCTTTGAAGTCCTCATCCAGCTTGGTTCCTTCAGCCCCGCCGACCTTCTCGCTGACCAGCTATGAATCAAAAACAAAAGTTTATTTTTAAAAAGAAGAATGTTTATTTATTACAGCGGGGCCTCGTTTAGAGACTGCCTCAGAGACTGACCATTCGCAGGTTATGACAGTGATGATAAAAAAAGAAGGAACTTTACGATCAATCCTTCGATTTACAGCTATCGCAGGCCGGCCCAGCACAGGAAAGCTGAATTAAGATTGTACGGATGGGAGCAGCTTCAATTAGTGTCCGCTTTGCTTAATGACCTGGTCCAACTGTGGCTGACAAACGAGGACAACCTATACAGGCATGTATTTATTGCAGGTACTTTAAGACCACCCTAATCAATATTTGGCTTACGACAAATATAACAAACCTGCAACAATACGCTTAATACAAAGGATCATCCAGTCAAAAAAAGACCCACCCATCATTTACCCTAAATGCCTAATCAAACTGAATTGTAAATTCTCATATACAGGAAGTCCTTGACTTACAACGCATTTGTTTAGTGGCCGAAGTTACAATAGCACAGAAAAAGGTGAGTTATGACAGTTTGTCACACTTACGACCGTTGCAGCATCCCCACGGTCACGTGATCAAAATTTGGATGCTTGGCAATTCATATTTATGACGGTCGCAGTGTCCCAGGGTCATGTGAACCCCTTTTGCAACCTTCCAACCTGATTCACTTAGCAACCATGTTAATATTTATGGAGATGTTCAGTCATCCAGGTCAGGGTTGTCCCAAAGGTGCTTTTTTTAGGAGGCAACTGGACTTTCTTATTTTTCTTTAAAGACGTTTCCCTTCTCATCCCAGAAGCTTCTTCAGCTCTGACTGGATGGTGGGGAATGGAAGGATTTATACTCCTTGCAGACAGCTGGTCATTTGCATCCTTTTGGAGAGCCGTTGAGCCCACTTGGAGGCTTATGTGCATCCTCAGGATTAAATAGATGTGAAGCCTTCTTGGAGCTGCTGGAAGGAAGCCCAAGAAGCTCCTTATGAAGCAGTTTTTTTCAGCAGCTCCAAGAAGGCTCCACACCCATTTGCACCACTCAGTTGACCCTGAGGATACAGATAAACCTCCAAATGGCCTCAACGTCTCTCTAAAAGGATGCAAATGACCAGCTGTCTGCAAGGAGTATAAATCCTGCCATTCCCCACCAGCCAGTCAGAGCTGAAGAAGCTTCTTGGATGAGATGTGAAACGTCTCAGAGGCTGCCCCAAAGAAGAGGGAGTCAAGCCATTCTCCAAAGCACCTGAAGGCAGGACAAGAAGCAACGGATAGAAACTAAAAAAGAGAGAAGCAACCTGGAACTAAGGAAAACTTCCTGACACTGAGAACAATTAACCAGTGGAACAACCTGCCTCCAGAAGCGGTGAATGCTCCAACACTGGAAGGTTTTAAGAAGAGACTGGACAGCCATTTGTCTGAAATGGTATAGGGTTTCCTGCCTGAGCAGGGGGTTGGACTAGATGACTTCCAAGGTCCCTGATGGAAAGTGATCAAGGAGAGAAGCAACCTAGAACTAAGGAGAAACTTCCTGACAGTGAGGACAATTAATCAGTGGAACAACTTGCCTCCAGAAGCTGTGGGTGCTCCAACTTTGGAAGTTTTTAAGAAGAGACTTGGTCAGCCATTTGCCTGAAATGGTATAGGGTTTCCTGCCTGAGCAGGGGGTTGGACTAGAAGACCTCCAAGGTCCCTTCTAACTCTATTCTATTCTATTCTATTCTATTCTATTCTATTCTATTCTATTCTATTCTATTCTATTCTATTCTATTCTAAGGAAAAACAAGAAAGTCCAGTTGCCTCCTGAAAAAAGCACAACTGCAGTGATTCTCTTAACTGTAGCAAAAAATTGTAAAATTAAGACTATCTTGCTTTGCAACAGAGATCTTAGTCTCAACTGTGGTCGTAAGTTGAGGACTAGCAGTATTGGATACTAAAATAGAATTAAGTTGTTGTTTTTTAAAAATTACATAAGTGCATAAAATTTCAATATTTTAACAGCGGCAAATTTTCTGCTGCTGAGAATACAGACTGCACAACCACTGGTTCGTGTTTTGTTTTTAAGTATTTGAAAATGAGTATTTATGTAGCAACATTAATCCCCCATTAAAGCTTTTCTTTTTCGTTTCCATATCACGGTGCCAAGGGTTTCATCCAATTCTTCACTACCACACTGAGTTGTGAACCTTCAAATGTTTTTTACACTGCCTGTTAAAATACTCTCAGGACAGAGTACATAATAATATGAGACCCCTAATGCCCAACTTTTAATATTTATATGTAAGGGTGTAGGTCAGGGGCAGGCAACCTTGGCCCTTTTATGACTCGTGGACTTCAACTCCCAGAATTCCTGAGCCAGCCACGCTGAGGGGAAAGGGAGAGGTTTCCAACCTGAGCCATGCTGGCTCCGGAATTCTGGGAGTTGAAGTCGACGAGTCATAAAAGAGCCAAGGTTGTCTGCCCCTGCTCTAGAAGTTTCTACTAGACCAAGGGTAGGCAACCTTGGCCCTTTTATGGCTCGTGGACTTCAACTCCCAGAATTCCTGAGCCAGCCATGCTGAGGAGAAAGGGAGAGCTTTCCAAGCTGAGTCATGCTGGCTCAGGAATTCTGGGAGTTGAAGTCCACAAGTCATAAAAGAGCCAAGGGTGCCTACCCCCGCTCTAGAAGTTTCTACTAGACCAGGGGTAGGCAACCTTGGCTCTTTTATGACTCGTGGACTTCAATTCCCAGAATTCCTGAGCCAGCTACGCTGAGGGAAAAGGGAGAGGTTTCTAAGCTGAGCCATGCTGGCTCAGGAATTCTGGGAGTTGAAGTCCACGAGTCATAAAAGAGCCAAAGTAGCCTACCCCTGGGATAAACACAGGTCTAATATCAGATAAAAACCTGTTTTTAAAAAGAGAAATAAGTACAGGTACTCTTAGGCTTACAACAGTTCATTTAGTGACCGTTCAAAGTTACAGTGGCACTGAAAAAAGGTCACTTATGACCGTTTTTCACACTTAGGACCGTTGCAGCATCCTCCACGGTCATGGGATCGAAATTCAGATGCTTGAATTCAATTGACTCATATTTACGATGGTTACAGTGTCCCAGAGTCACATGACAGCCTTTTGTGACCTTCTGACAAGCCATGGGGGAGCCAGATTCCCTTAACAAACTGGGTTACTAATTTACCAGCGGCAGCGATTTATTTAACAACAAACAAAAAAACTCACAGGCCCAGTCTTGATGGACCGCTGGATCAATTTTCTCTGTTTTTAACAGAATAACGAAGTTGGAAGGGACCTTGGAGGTCTTCTAGTCCAGCCCCCTGCTCAAGCAGGAGACCCTCTAGCTACCTACCTACCTTCCTTTCCTTCCTTCCTTCTTTTCCTTCCCTCCCTCCATATATCTGCCTGCCTGCCTGCCTATCTAAATTAACAGAATAAAATAACTGGAAGGGACCCTGGAGGTCTTCTAGTCCAACCCCCTGCTCAGGCAGAAAACCCTATACTTTCCTTCCTTCCTTCCTTCCTTCCTTCCTTCCTTCCTTCCTTCCTTCCTTCCTTCCGTCCTCCCTCCCTCCCTCTATCTATCTAAATTAACAGAATAACATGGAAGGGACCTTGGAGGTCTTCTAGTCCAACCCCCTGCTCAGGCAGGAAACCCTGTACTTTCCTTCCTTCCTTCCTTCCTTCCTTCCTTCCTTCCTTCCTTCCTTCCTTCCTTCCTCCCTCCCTCCCTCCCTCCCTCCCTCCCTCCCTCCATCCATCCATCCATCCATCTATCTATCTATCTATCTATCTATCTATCTATCTATCTATCTTAACAGAATAACATGGAAGGGACCTTGGAGGTCTTCTAGTCCAACCCCCTGCTCAGGCAGAAAACCCTATACCTACCTACCTACCTACCTACCTACCTACCTCCCTCCCTCCCTCCGTCCGTCCATCCATCCATCCATCTATCTATCTATCTATCTATCTAGCTTTCTTTCTTAACAGAATAACATGGAAGGGACCTTGGAGGTCTTCTAGTCCAACCCCCTGCTCAGGCAGGAAAGCCTCTCCCGTTTCAGACAAGCGGCTGTCCATTTCTCTTAAAAACTTCCACAACTTCAATAATTAATTATTTCAACTGATTAAACTGGTAGGCTAGCTGATTCTCAACAACTCTGGCTGGCTATTAACCGTCAAACCGAGAAATTATCAATGTTTTCCTCGGCTCACTGTCACACCCAAGGAGCCTTGTTCCATGTGACTCCTCTAAAACACACACTGTACAGTACACAACCCCAACGTTATCACAAAGGACGTGTGTTATCGATGGTTTAATAAATGAATCATTTGTGCACACAGTGTGGAAGATAACTGGCCCACAAAATTCAGCTCAGCTGTGTGTAGATTATTATTATTATTATTATTTTAGCCTTGGGCTAAATATCCCGGCATTGGAAAAGGAGCAAAGTGGATGAAATACAGGAAGTCCTCAACTTACAACAGTTCGTTCAGTGACCGCTCAAAGTTGCAATGGCACTGAAAAATGTGACTTACGACTTTTTAAGTTTTTTTGGACAGCCATTTGTCTGGAACTAAGAAGAAACTTTCTGATAGTCGGAACAATTAACCAGTGGAACAACCTGCCTCCAGAAGTGGCAAATGCTCCAACGCTGGAAGTTTTTAAGAAGAGCCTGGACAGCCATTTGTCTGAAATGGTATAGGGTTTCTTGCCTGAGCAGGGGGTTGGACTAGATGACCTCCAAGGTCCCTTCCAACATTACTATTATTATTATTATTATTATTATTATTATTATTAAGTTATGACCGTTGCAGTATTTCCCCCCCCATAGTCACGTGATCAAAATTCGGATGCTGGGCAACTGCTTCGTACTTATGACCGTTGGAGTGTCCCCGAAGGTCACGTGATCCATGTTTGCAACCTTCTGACAACCAATGGAAGCCAGATTTGCTTAACAACCAAGTTACTCACTTATCAACTTCAATTTTTTTTTCGCTTAACAATTGTG